ATTTTTTTTAATATAAAATTTATATATAAACTTTATATATAAGAAAATCTCTAGCTGGATGTGGTGACACATGCCTGTAATCTTAGTACTTTGGGGGCTGAGCCTGGATGTTTATAAATTTGATTCTCACCTAGGCAACTTAGTGAGACTCTGCCTCAAAAAACAAAAAGGGCTGTGAGTATAGCTCAGCATGAAGGCTTTAGGTTCCACCTCCAATACTGAAAATAGTAATAATAATAATAAAATTTAAAAAATCAGAGATGAGGGAAATTAAACTGCTTGTAGGATCATAATTGGGAAAAAGCAGAAGTCAACCTTGAACTTGGGTCCTCCCCTCCCCACTTTTTTGTTGTACCAGGGATTGAACTTGGGACCTTGTGCTTGTGAGGCAGGTAGTGGCACCACTGAGCTAAGTCCCCGGCCCCCTTCCCCTTTTTAATTTTAGTGAACTTAAAAAAAAAAAAATTCCCTGGGAAAATTAGGCAAACCTGAGCTGTAAGAACTGAGGGAGGATAAGAAGGGGTAGAATGAGAGGCAGTTAGTGAAACTTAAAGTTAATATGTGCATTGCGTATTGAATGCTAGTGTACCCCTCAGAACGCATATTGAAATGTAATGCCTAATGTGATGGTATCCAAAGATGGAGTCTTGGGCTGGGGATTTAGCTCAGTGGTTCCAGAGCCTGCCTCACAAACACAAGGACCCGAGTTCGATCCCCAGTACCACAAAGACAAACCAAACCAAACAAAACCCTACCAAAGATAGAGTCTTTGTGAGGTGATTTAGTCATGACGTTAGAATCTTCATGGATGGAATCAGTGCCCTTATGAGAAGAGGCCCTAGAGCTATTTGCTGTTTTTCCACCTTACGAAAATATAAAGAGAATCTGGCTTTCTGCAACCAAAAAGAGAGCCCTCACCAGAACCTGAACAGACTGGTATGTTGATCTTGGATTTCAGCTTCCAGAACTGTGAGAAATAAATTTCTTTTTTATAAAACACCCAGTCTATTGTACTTTGTTATAGAAGCCCATACTGATGGAGACAATGTAAATATCTGTTTTTCATTTCTGTATATAGATACTGTTCAGGGAGAATATGGCCAGAGAGAGGAAGAGGTATCTTTTGGGACATGTGACACCTAAGGGACAGGGCTGAGAGGCACCAGAGAAAGTCTGGTTGAGTGCACCACAGATTCCTCAGGGATAGGCTCCTTTCAGAGCACAGGTGGTTGCTGCATCTCTCAGCCTACCTGGCCATGATGGCTCCTTAGTAAATTGTTCCATGGAGGCAGGGGATGGGTGTGAAGTGTGAGAGGCAGGGCTGAAAGATGGTTCAAAGTGGTCCAGGCCAGCCCCTTTGTGTTAGAGAAGGGAGGATGAGACTAAGAAGAGCTCAGGAAAGGCTATTTCTTGCCCAGAGATTAAAATGCTGGGAATGGAGGTTTACTAAGGGTGATGGCTAGATTTTGCCTGAGGATAGGGTTAGGAAGGAAGAGAGGGCTGGAATGGCCAACCAAAGCTGAACCCCAAGAAGAAAGGCACTTAGGTCAGGTTTGGGCCAAAGCATTTGTAGTTCTGAGGTTGCATCAAGAAATGACCTTGCACTCTGTCACGTGTACAGTATGCCTGGATCTTCTGTACACGGTGGATGGGCAGTAGTAGGCAGGAAGAAAAGGGTGGGATAATTAGGGTGGGTAATCCTGAACTTTGGTAAGGAGTTTTTTCCCTATTTCTACCTTCAGTGTAAGGTATAAGTATCAGCCCCAGCAGGGGTTGGGTAGAGCTCTTCACTGGCTGCGGTTCTGGCAGGATATGGGAGGTTTGACTGGGGGTCGGGGCAGGAATAGGAGTTGAGGCCATGTCTCTGAGAAGGATAGTCATGGATGTCTAGAATTGTCCTGAGTCCTGGGAGGTATGAATGGGAATTGGAAGCTTTCATGTAGAGGGAGGGTTGTGATGAGAGGTTGAGGTCCTGTGCCTAGAAAGGTATGGCTGGAAAGGGACTCCTGCAGTCCCTCAGGAACTTTCATTTCTATGATGGATCTTACCTCGGTCCTGAGCTTTGCACAGCCCCACCTCAGTGATTTCCCGACACCACGCCTGTAGCTCAGGGTCCCTCCTCACATCATCATCCTTCTGGTAGAAGAGGTGGACAATCCCCTCCACATACCTGCCCGGAGGAGGGGAGTGAGCTCTCTGAAAGCAGAACACTCCCGCCTCTGACCTCTGTTCCTCTGCCCAGCTGACTCTTATTGTGCCTGGATCAGATCCTACCAGACTTGTCTTTTGGGACATTCTCCATGTTCCTTGTTTTGCAGTGTGTGCGTGTGCATGTGCATGTGTGTATGTTTGCTATGCTGGGGATCAAACCCAGGGCTTTGTACATGTTAGTCACTCTACTACAGAGCTACCTCCCCAGGCTCTTGACATTCTATTGTAAAGAAGGAGATACAGGCTAGTAGTTCTAGGAGTCCCCTATACATGGTTGCTGTCCACTTTCCCCAATGAAACCCTTAATCTTCTAGATCCCTTGGTCTTCCCACCCCCATGGCTCTCCTCACTTACATACCCTGGCCCTATTCCAGGCTCTTCACTGCTAGGCTCCACCCACTGTCTCCTTACTTTTTCTCAACTCTCCCCTGGAGAAATGCTACTGTCCCACTGTGATCTCAAGACAGAGCCCCACCTTCCTCCTCCACCCCTTTCCAAAAATTTCTCAGTTCTCACCCACCGGGCAATGATCTCCCAGAGCTGTAATGCATCGCGGGCATAGAGAGCACTTGGGATTCCTAGCAGGCCCCGGTCAGCCAGGTCATCAGGAGGACAGAGGGAGCCATAGGTCATCTGAGCCATTGCTTGACGGAGCAACTGCACGTGGCCCCCTCCACCTGTGTTTGATGCCTGGGACAAGAGTTGACAGGTCTTGAGGGATGGAAACAGGACTGGATAATCATAGCTTATTATATAGGAGATTCGAAGGTGGCATTTTCAGATTTAAAGTTATGTACATAAAGGGACAGGACTCAGGACATTCACATAGGCTTGTGTGAGTTCCTGAAGGTAGAAAATCACAGAAAAGTGGATGATCAGGCAGTTCCATACCCCATTCCTTCCTTACCTGGTCAAATACTCCTCTCTCTGAGATGAGTTGGGTCCGGGCTCTGGTGTTGATTTCCATAGTGTAGCGTATATGGGGGATCAGAAGCTGAAGTGGAGGAGATTGGGGGGATAATTAATGGAGACTGTTTTTGGGATTCTTATAGAGGCTGGCACTTACATGCTGGCCTGCTGCCCTCTGATGTTTTGGTCCCTGCTGCTGCCTTGATTGGCTGGTCTGTTTCTCTGATCACTTCAATCTCATGTTCTTTAATTTTCTTGTCAGACTCTGGAGTCACACAAATCTGAATTTCAGTTTACACTTTCCCACTCTAATAAGTGGTACAGACAATAACCCACTAATCTGCAATTTCTGTATCCATCAATAGGGGGCAATAATAGAATCTTTCATGCTGGAGCTGTAGTGAGTCTGTGACTATATATGAAGAATGCTTAGTCACTCAAAAGTCCTCCAATAGCAGGTGCTATTCTCTTGCTACCTTGAATGTAGGTGCCTTTATGAATCATTCTTTTGATTTGCTTTTATATTTCCTCTATCATTCACATCTTCATGGCTTAAACCAGTCTGCCTACTTATCAAAGCTGCCCCTCTTCGGTTGTGTAACATTGATGTGTTTCTTTGGGGGAGGTGGCTTGGGCAGGTACTTTCATTTAGAATTGGGGGAGCTCTATTGAGCTGCCTGCTTATGCAGCCAAGAGGCTTTTTGTCAACTTTGTTCCCATCCCCAGTC